CACTGCAAGCTCCGCCTCCCTGGTCCACGCCATTCTCCTGCCTCAGCCTCCCAAGTAGCTGGGACTACAGGCGCCTGCCACCACGCCCGGCTAGTTTTTTTTGTATTTTTTAGTAGAGACGGGGTCTCACCGTGTTAGCCAGGATGGTCTCGATCTCTTGACCTCGTGATCCACCCGTCTCGGCCTCCAAAAGTGCTGGGATTACAGGCTTGAGCCACCGCGCCCGGCCAAGTTCTTATCATTTTAATTTGAGAGAAGAATAGAATATAAATATAAAAAGGAATAGAAAACAAATTAAATGATGATACAGTATCTAGAGCTTTGTGCAATATTCCTGTATTTTAGGAAATGCCATATTTAAAATTTTCTAAATACTGTTTAAAAAATTGCATTTTAAAGGAAAATTGGCTAGGTATGGAAAAGGATTTCCTTCATTTTTTTTGAAGCATAATTTGTTTTTATCTTGTTTCTAGCCTTTATGAAATTCCAGCTGTGTCCTCATCATCCTTTTTTGAAGAGTTTGGCAAACTGTTGAGGGAAACAGATGAAATGGACAGCATTCATGATGTGACATTTCAAGTTGGCAATAGACTCTTCCCTGCACACAAATATATTTTGGCAGTGCGTTCTGATTTTTTTCAGAAATTGTTTCTTTCAGATGGCAGTACTTCAGAATTTACAGATATTTACCGGAAAGATGAAGATTCTGCAGGGTGCCATCTCTTTGTGGTAGAGAAGGTTCATCCTGACATGTTTGAATACCTTTTACAATTTATATACACAGATACTTGTGACTTTTTAACTCATGGCTTCAAACCAAGAATACACTTAAACAAAAACCCAGAAGAATATCAGGGAACTCTGAATTCTCATTTGAATGAAGTGAATTTCCATGAAGATGATAACCAGAAGTCTGCATTTGAAGTTTACAAAAGTAATCAAGCTCAAACAGTTAGTGAAAGGCAGAAGAGCAAACCTAAATCTTGTAAAAAAGGAAAAAATATTAGGGGAGATGATCCTGTAAGAATGTTGCAAACTGTTGCAAAGGAATTTGGCTTCAGTAATTTGAGTAGTAGGTATGATTTCTCCTTTATATCTGTTCCTGTACGTCATTCAGTCCTCCTTTAAAAAATTTCCCACCCTTTTTTCCTTGCTTTTCTTTTCTTTCCCCTCCCGCAGTCACCTCTCACTTGTTCCATCCCCTTCTCTTCTCTTTTCTCTCCTCTTCCTCTCTCTCCCTTTCTCCCTACCCCTCCTTTTTTGGGGGAGGTACATGGATGTGTCTTTCCTACATTTGCTGGCAGAGCTATCTCTGGGACTTCTTGGATTACATTAATGGATGGGAAAGCTGTTATTGGGTTTGAACTCTGGTTTGGTTGGATTACATTAATGTATGGGAAAGCTGTTGGTGGGTTTGAACTCTGGTTTGTGTATGTAACAGGGATCTGGAGTGGCAGGCAGTGCGGTATGCTGGAAAGGTCTTTCAAGTTAGACATACGTGTCTCTTAGCTTTATTATTCCTGGCTGGGACAATTTTCTTTCTTTTACCTCAGTTTCTCAATATAAGAAATGGGAAAGATAATATTTATCTCATATTGTTGGTATGGTTTTGTCATATTTAAATTGCCTAATACCATAGTATCATATTATGAATCAGATTATTTGAAATTCTCTCTCTTTTTAAGGTATTTATGTTGCTTGTGGCAGTTAAACCTTAGTTGTAGGGTGGGAACAGAGGAGGGGGGTGTATCATGTTTTCTGTTTAGAAGTAATGAAGGGGCTGGGCGCCGTGGCTCACACCTGTAATCCCAGCACTTTGGGAGGCTGAGGTGGGCAGATCACCTGAGGTCAGGAGTTTGACACCAGCCTGGCTGACATGGCAAAACCCCATCTCTACAAAAAATTACAAAAATTAGCTCCGCATGGTGGTAAATGCCTGTTGTCCCACTTACTGGGGAGGCTGAGGGAGGAGATTTACGTGAACCTGGGAGGTGGTGGTTGCAGTGAGCTGAGACCACACCACCGCACTCCAGCCTGGGTGACACAGCGAGACTTCATCTCAAAAAAAAAAAAAAAAAAGGCCGGGCGCGGTGGCTCAAGCCTGTAATCCCAGCACTTTGGGAGGCCAAAACGGGTGAATCACGAGGTCAGGAGATCGAGACCATCCTGGCTAATACGGCGAAACCCCGTCTCTACTAAAAAATACAAAAAACTAGCCGGCCGAGGTGGCGGGCGCCTGTAGTTCCAGCTACTTGGGAGGCTGAGGCAGGAGAATGGCGTGAACCCGGGAGGCGGAGGTCACAGTGAGCTGAGATCCGGCCACTGCACTCCAGCCTGCGCGACAGCGCGAGACTCCTTGTCAAAAAAAAAAAAAAAAAAAGAAAGAAAAAGAAAAACTTTGTGCTATGGCTTTGATTGTCTTTTGTCAGTAATATTTAATCTATTTTGAATTCTAACTAAAATAGAAGAAAAAGTATGATACTTCTTTATCTCAGAGTAGGGGTTTGTTGAGATACTTTAGGATATAGTATTATATTTAGGTGTAAGCTAATTTGTTGGATTTTTTGTTGTACGTTTATTTTTGTAAGGGAATTATATATATCAATTGTTAATTTTTATCTCTCCTTGATAGGTTAGATGGAGTCAGATTTGAAAATGAAAAAATTAATGTCATTGCCAAGAAAACTGGTAATAAACTGAAGCTAAGTCAGAAAAAATGGTAAGTAAGGAAAGGAAGATTAACATTTCATCTCTAGATTTTGGCATTTAAATGTGGAAATAGATCTCTGCTTACCCACATATGAAGCAAAATGTATAGGTAGATACCCTCTTACCTTTTCTAGTATTCTGCATTTTTGGAAATGTTGGGGAGCTGTTGAAGTAAATTGATAAAATACTAACTGCTGAAGACATCAAAGGAGTTTTTTCTTTCTGATGACTTTCTAATAGAGAGAGGAACTTTTAATTTTTATTTTTTCTTGCCTGAATTTTGTGCCTTGTTATAGTTAGGAAATGTTGTGAGCCCTCAAACCAAATTAATTATATCTCTTCATCATTATGATTATTTCCTTTAGTATAAAAAATGTTTAATAATAAATATACTATTCTAAATATATTGTTAAAAAGTTTTATTTTTAGGGCCTGGCGTGGTGGCTCACGCCTGTAATCTCAGCCCTTTGAGGGGGCCGAGGCGGGTGGATCACCTGAGGTCAAGAGTTTGAGACCAGCCTGATTAACATGGTGAAACCCTTTCTCTACTAAGAAAATACAAAAATTAGCCAGGCATAGTGGCGAGTGCCTGTGATCCCGGCTACTCAGGAGGCTGAGGCAGGAAAGTCGCTTGGACTTGGGAGGCAGAGGTTGCAGTGAGCCAAGATTGCGCCATCGCACTCCAGCCTGGGTGACAGAACAAGACTCCGTCTCAAAGAAAAAAAAGTTTTGCTTTTAGCTATTCATACTTTCTGTGTAAGTGGAAAGATTTTGGAGAAGGATAAACTGTGGCATTGTTTCAACTGTGGTTGGCCCAGATAAGCTACTACAAATAAGTGAATTACAGAGACTTAAATATGATATCACTTAGTATTATTAACAGTTTGTCTGAAATTAGAAAAAAAGGAAAATCAGAAAAATACTTTTTGAATATTTGTATTTGACTCCCTTTTCAAATACTGTCTTTAAGGCCCTTACCTTCCCTAAGGTGGAAGAAGAGGAAGTATTTTATTGTATGTATTCCTGCAAGTTATTTATTCTCTGCCACCTTTAAGAGAAAATTGAAAGTTAAGCCAAATCCTATAATCTTTTTCATTAAATATGTAAAGAAATTGCACTTGCTTCAATTAAACATTTTCTTCCAGTTCATTTCTGTGTGACGTGACCATGAAATCAGTGGATGGAAAGGAATTTCCTTGTCATAAATGTGTTCTTTGTGCTAGACTTGGTAGGTGTACTTTTTAAAGCTGCTAATTTATTTGCTCTATTATTGTTTCACTATTCTTATTGCATTGAACTTTTTTTTTTTTCCTTTTAGAATATTTTCATAGTATGCTGAGTAGCTCATGGATTGAGGTAAGATTTAAGTAAAAAGCGCCTAGGTTGGTAACTATGTTTCTTTATATTTTGTGGAAATTATGTAGTAAAGAAATTCAAAATCAGAACTCGATATTTTAGTTCAGTTCTTCATTTATATTAAACTTTATTTATGCTTGAGGCTGCTGGAAAATAGCAACTCTTAGAATTTAAAATTATTGCCAAGAAGCTACTTAAATAAAAATTTCCCTGTTATTATTTAGAAATGTACTAGGAACACCACTGTGTTTCTTGTTTTCTGAATTTTTTGTTCCTTTTTCATGTTGTGTTTTAAAATTAAATTTAATATTATTTTAGCCATGTGTTTTGTAAATTTTATGTTCTTTTGCATTTGATGTGATTTCCTGTTCAGAGTGTTTTGTACCAATAACCCAAATTAGAATGTAATATTTTATTGTTTACAATGAATTATTTTACTTTATTTTGTCTTATTTTATTTAGGCTTCCAGTTGTGCAGCTCTGGAAATGCCAATACATTCTGATATATTAAAAGTTATTTTGGACTACCTCTATACTGATGAAGCTGTGGTGATAAAAGGTATTAATAAGAGTTAGGACATTGTAGATACTTCAGATATAATGGAATAATGGTAAAATCAACATGAATCTTAATTTCTAATGAACAAAAGCCACCAATAAAGGCTTAATTTGTTTTATTTTTAAAATATTTAATTTATTTTTTATTATTTGTGGAGACCAGGGTCTTACTATGTTGCCCAGGCTGGTCTCAAACTCGTAGGCTCAAGGGATTATTCCACCTCAGTCTTCCAAAGTGCTAGGATTATAGCATGAGCCACTATGCCTGGCCAATAAAGGCTTAATTTAGAATAAGCAATAGGAATGATTGCTAATAGTAGAGGAGCAGAAAAAGAAGGTTTTCAATACCCGCGTGAAAATGAACTCTTTGAGAATTAGTGCTCACTTCGGCAGCAAGTATACTAAAACTGGAATGATACAGAGATTACATGGCCCCTGTACAAGGATGACATGCAAATTTGTGAAGCGTTTCATTAAAAAAAAAAAAAAGGAATTGTATGTAATGGTTGAAATTAGATTTAGCAGTTCAATTTCCAACTACTTCTATGATGGAGGTGAATGAATTGACAACAGGGATAGTTTTGACAAATACTTGCGTTAAGTTCTTTCTTACTTGTTTTTCCCCTTTGTGGTTACACATCTTGAAGGAAACAGATTAAAAATTGTACCAAAATTTATGAAGAGAGGTGATTTATATACTTTGTTAGGCAAAACACTAACTTTTAGTTACAAAGTATGTTTAGTCATTGGAGTGGTACCGGATGTTCTGTCATATTCCATTAGTTTTTTTTAACGCCAGCTGTATATTGGGGATTATAAAAAAGTGAATAGACCTTTTTCTATATTCAAGAAACTCAATTTAGTGGAGAAGACAAATGTATAGAAAACAAATATAATCCAACAGAGTAATTCTCTAAAAAGCTGGTGCATTTTTAAGAAGCTAGCCTCTGAGTCTGCCTAGGAAATCTGGGTAGTCTTGTAAAGGAGATAGAGTTTAACCGAGGACAAGATTTCTGAAGATTTGTATACTTAAGAGTAAGATAACTGAGACATGGTATGTTTTTCTCTACTTCTTTCATTTCTTTTTAAGAATCGAGAAATTATTTGCATGATAAAACTTACACTTTTAAAGCATACAATAAGTAGTTTTTAGTATGTTTACAAATTTGTGCAACTATCATCACTGTATAATTCTAGAACATTTTCATCACCCCAGAAAGATACCTTGTACCCATTAGCAGACACTTTCCACTCTCTCTTATCCCCAGTCCCTAGAAAACCCCTGGTATGTTTTCTGTCTCTATGGATTTGCCTATTCTGGACATTTCATATAAATATAATCAAACAACATGCGGCCTTTTGTATTTAACTCATTTTACTTAAGTACGATGTTTTAAAATTTTTTCCGTGTTGTAGCAGGTACCAACACTTCATTCTTTTTTATTGCCAAATAATATTTATTATGTGGATATAACACATTTATTCTTCAGTTGATGGATGTTGGGGTTGTTTTTACCCTTGTCTATTAGGAATCATGCTGCTGTGAACACTCATGCCTGTTTTTGTGTGGGCCTATGTTTTCATTTCTCTTGGGCATATACCTAGAAGCGGAAATGCTGGGTCACATGTTTAATTTTTTAGGAACTGCCAAACTGCACAGTGGCTAGCTGTACCATTTAACTTTACCACTGACAGTGTGAGGGTTCCAGTTTCTCCACATCCTTGCCAACACTTACTAATATCAACTTTTTTTATTATAGCCATCCTAATGGGTGTGAAGCTATACAACATTGTGCTTTTGATTTGTATTTCACTAATGACTCATGATGTTGAACATCTTTTCATATGCTTTTTGGTCATTTGCATGTCTTCTTTGGATACATACTCACGTCCTTTGAACACTTTTTTTTCTCAATTATTTGTTTTTTTAAGATGCTGCTAGAGTTCTTTGTATAGTCTGGATATTAGTCCCTTATGGGATATATGATTTGCGAATGTTTTCTCTCCTCTGACTTGTTTTCATTTCCTTGATAAAGTGTCCTTTAAAACACAAAAACTTTTATTTTTATTTTATTTTTGAGACAGGGTCTTATTCCATTGGCCAAGCTGGAGTGCAGTGGCATGGTCATGGCTCACTGCAGCATTGGCCTCCTGAGCTTAAGTGATCCTTCCCACCTCAGCGTCCCAAGTAACTGGGACTACAGCTGTGCACCACCATGCCTGGTTAATTTATAAACAGTTTTGTAGAGACAGAGCCTCCCTATATTGCCCAGGCTGGTCTGGAACTCCTGGCTCAAGTGATCCTCCTGCCTCAGCCTCCCAAAGTGCTGGGATTACAGGCATTTGATGATATCCAAATTATCTATGTTGACTTGTTACTCATGTTTTTGGTGTCATATCTAGGAATTCATTGTCAAATCCAAGGTCATGATGATTACCCTATATGTTTTCTCCTAAGAGTTTTATAGTTCTGTCTCTCACATGTAGGTCTTTGGTCCATTTTGAGTTAATTTCTCCCCCTAGTCTTATTAAGGTGTAATTAACAAGTAAAAATTATGTATAGTCACTGTGTATAACATGATGCTTTGAGATATATATATATAATATCTATATTTATATATAGAGAGATAATTACCACAATCAAGCTAATTAGCATATCCATCACCTCACATAGTTACCTTTTTTTTTTTTTGTGGTGAAAGTACTTGAGATCTAGTCTTTCAGCAAATCTCAAGTATGCAGTACATTAGTATCAGTGTAGTCACCATGCTGTATATAAGGTCTAGATCCTATTCATTCATCTTATAACTGTAATTTTGTACTCTTTGACCAGTATCTCACCATTACCCTAATCCCCTGTCCTCTAGTAACCACCATTCTTATTAAGTTAATTTTTGCATTTGTTGTGAGGTATGGGTCCAAGTTTATTCTTTTACATCTGTATGTCCTATTTTTTCAGTACCATTTGTTGAAAATATGTTTGTTTTCCCATTGAATTGTTTTAGCACCTTTGTCAAAAATCAGCTGACAATAAATTTAAAGTTTTTTTTCTGTACTCTTCAATTCTATTTCAATGAACTCTGTTTATGCCAGTATAGCACTCTCTTGATTACCATTGTTGTAAGTTGTGAAATTGGGAAATGTATGTTTTCTTACTATGTTCTGCTATTTCAAGATTTTATTGGCTATTTTCGGTTTCTTGAATTTTCATGTGAATTTTAGGATTAGTTTGCCAATTTCTGCAACAAAGGCAGCTGGGATTTTAATACGAGTCACATTCAATTGGTAGATCAGCTTGGGGATTATTGCCATTTTAATATTTAAGTCTTATAATCCATTAACACTGGCTGTCTTTCCATTTATTTGTCTATTTATTTAAGTCTTTTATTTCTTTTAATGATTTATGTAGTTTTCAGTGTACAAACCTTGCTCTTTCTTAGTTAAAAATTATTAAGAATTTTTAATGCTATTTTAAATGGAACTTTTTTAAATTTTATTTTTGGATTGTCCTTTGCTGGTGTTTAGAATTACAATTGATTTTTGTATATTGATCTTATATCCTGCAACCTTGCTGAACTTGTTCACTAATTCTCGTAGTTTTTTTAGTGGATTCCTTAGGATTTTCTATATGCAATATCATGTCATCTGCAAATGGAGATGGTTTTACATATGACTTTCCAATTTGGGTGTGCTTTATTTCTTTTTCTTGTTTAATTGCCCTGATTAGATGAATCTCTAGTACTCTGTTGAATAGAAGTGGCAACAGTGGTCATCCTTGTCTTGTTTCTGATCTTAGGAAAAAGCATTCAGCCTTTTTACTTGTGGGTTTTTTGTTGTTGCCATTTATCAGGTTGAAGAAGATTATTTCTATTCCTGGTTTATTGAGTGTTTTTATCATGAAAGGATGTGGGATTTTTGTCAAATGTTTTTCTCTTTCTTAAGATGGTCATGTGTTTATTATGCTTTATTTTTGTGTATTATATTGATTGATTTTTCATATGTTGCATCATCCTTTCATTTTGGATTTATTCTGCTAGGTCATATTATATAATTCCTTTTTATATGTTACTGGATTTAGTTTTGTAGCATTTTTTGAGGATTTTCACATCTTTAATTGTAAGGGATATTGGTTTAGTTTTCCTGTGATGTCCCTGTCTGTTTTTAGTGTCAGCATAATATTGGCCTCCTTGTCTAAGTTGGAAAGTGTTCTTCATCTTCTACTTTTTGAAGAGTTTGTGGAGAATTGTATTAATTTATCTTGTAATAATGCATCAATTATATTATTCATCTTTAAATATTCAGTCAGATTAACCAATTAAGCCATCTAGTCTTGGAGTCTTCTTTGTAGAAGTTTTTTGATCACTAATTCTATATCTTTACTTTACTTACTGCTAATTGTTTGCCCCCAGATAAAAGGCTGTTGTCACTGGGCAAGCTTTGAGTCAGGTCAAATAAAGATAAGCATTCTAGTGGGATTTTCCGGGAACTAGCAGACAGGTCAAATAAGGATACTATTGCTCTACAACTGTTCTGTCTTCTTCTGTGGCTACTAGGCTGTCAATGTGATTCACTATGATTATGGAGCTGTTGGTTTTCAGTACTGCTGTGGAGGAGGGGAGAGGAAGATCTGAATAGGAAAGGCTGCAGTGTCCCAGATCCCACTGTTCTTAACAAGATTCAATTGCTTTTCTTAAGTAAACACTTCCTAGATTATTATAAGCTTTTGGCTGATTTCAGAATTCTGACAAAGTTGATTATGACAATTTTCCACAGTTGTCTTACTGTTTTTTTTTTTTTTTTTTAGAGGAGAGAATTAGAAGTTCTTAGTCTGTCATTCCTAGTGACTTCATCTTTGCCTCGTATTTTAAAGCTCTTTTCTATTTCAGATTTTTTTCTTCTTAATCTTTTTTTCCCTTTCTTCTCTTTCTCTGTTGTTGTTATTTTTTTCTTTCAATTTATGTTATTTTGGCAGTGGCTCAGGGGTAAAAAGCCATTAGTAGTACTTAGGACCAAGAAAGTTGTTTTATTTTTTATTATTTTTTATTTTTTTGAGATGGTGTCTCACTGTGTTGCCCAGTCGAGTGCAGTGGTGTGATCTCGGCTCATTGCAACCTCTGCTTCCCATATTCAAGCAATTCTCATGCCTCAGCCTCCCCAGTAACTGGGACTACAGGCATGTGCCACCACACCTAGCTAATATTTGTATTGTTAGTAGAGATGTGTTCACCGTGTTGGCCAGCCTGGTCTCAAACTCCTGGTCTTAAGTGGTACATCTGCCTCCACCTCCCGTAGTGCTGAGTTTACAGGCATGAGCCACTGCACCTGGCCAACAAAGTTGTTTTAAATTAAGGAACTCCTATAGTTACAAAAAAGCACTCTTAGATGACAAATTTTATTTTAAATAAGAAAGCATAAGAGCATTATTTCCCCACCCTATATATATTAAGTATGATGCTGAGATTTGAGTTTTCCCTCTTTGT